TGCCTTAAACTACCCAAGGCACAAAGGTTAGCCTGTCCTTAGGAAGTACTAGAACTGAAAAGTGCTAGAATCAGGTGACTTCTCTCTGCTTCCTCCTCTGTCTCTCTATAGACTATTTTATTATCCCTGCAGTAGAGTGTCCCTGCTTCCTCGTCTTCACAGAGAACCCATGTGGTAGTTAGTCACCTGCTCCTAGTTTCAAATTCCCGGAAGAGAGAAGCTGAGAGGCCTAAGCTGGGTCGGGTCAGATGTACCATCTACCAAGTCTATAGGCTTCAGGTCACAACAGACAAGCAAAGAAGGAGGAGCAGTGCTAGAGGAAAGGGTCATTGACTCAAGGCTGGAAAGATACCCTGGAAAGTATCCACCGTGATTGTTAAAATAGTGGTTTACAAGATCGAGGATGGGAATTTGCCCCACCCCAGGGGACATTTAGCAATATGTGAGAACATCTTTGGTTATTGCAGCATAGGGGTGGGTGCTACTTGCATCTAATAGAACCCAGGGATGTTGCTAAACATCCTAGAATGCTCCCACAACAAAGATAGAACCCAGGGATGTTGCTAAACATCCTAGAATGTTCCCACGACAAAGAATTATCTAGCATAAAATGTCAATAGTGCCCAGGCGGAGAAAGCATGTCTCCCTTTTGATTCTAGTAACTATTCTTTCAATCAAGTGGAGCATCTATAGCCACAGAGCACAGACCTAGGCCTGGTAAGTCACAGGACTCAGTAAATCTATTTGTTGGGCAGAGAGTAAATGAAAACATTATTCTAGCAGTGTGTGGTTGCTGACTGTACTGCCGATTACCCAGCCACAGTGTGCAAAGGCAGATGATGAGGTTCTGCCCTGGGTAGGGGGATTGTTAATAAAAAGGGAGGATCTAATAAGCAGAAACAGATGCAAGCAGCAGACAGAACTATAAACACACATATAACTTGCTCCTGCAAGTGCTCGAAACAGGAACAGCTGCCTAGCTGGTACCTGTTCCTTCCACACACCATAAGGGAGAGCTGTAATCCGTAAGCCTTGAACAGCTGTTGGCTATTATAGGAGCGTCTTTTGTACCATACTAACTTGTCAGTCAGGAAGGTACAGGCTCCAGGCTATTGGAGTCCTTTTTGGCTTAGTACATTTGCTTTCATTTTCTAAGAATTGTGAACCTGAAATCTTAAAAAAAATTTTTTTTTAAATCTGTAAATGGTTCAGAGTGGAGAAGCCTTCAGGAACAAGGAGAAGAAGGAGTTTATAAGGCTGGATATTTCCCCGAAGTTCCTGATAAACCCGAGCTGCTATTTGGGAAAGGGGGATAAGTTTTGTGACATTTTCAGGCATTAAGAGCGAGAAGGTAGATAACGCAGGGTCTTTGCTGCCCTCTACTGGTTATAATGAAGATTAGCGGGGGTTTGAGAGGAGAGACTGCAGCAGATTGCTTCATTCCTTCATTTAATTTTTTCAACACATGGCCGATCACTTTGAGAGTTATGTGGATCTCTGATCACTGTGCTGTACAACTGAAGCCGGTAGATCATTGTATGCCAACTATAATTGAAAAAAAAAACTCATCGAATTGTACAATGTAAATACGAGCAACTAATTATCTATTATGTTTCTATAAAGCTGGGGGAAAAAAAACCTTAAAAAATTTTTTTTTCAGCAAACATTTACTGAACTTATCCTTTGCGCAGATGCTGTGCTAGGCATTAAATACGGTGGTAAAAAATATCAAAAATGCTCCTGTCCTCGTGGGATGTACATTCTAGCAAAGAGACAGACTTTGTGTAAGTCAACAAATAAACAATTTAAAGTTATTTAAATGTAATCAACAGGGTAACGTGGGAGAGGTGGCAATTTAAGATTTGGTAGGTGACATGTGAGCTGAGACTGGAAAGGTGA